AAGCAGGAAGCAGGAAGTGAGTACTTACTGGTAAGGGCTGCTCTTGGGGTAATGAAACATCCTGAAGCTAAACAGTGGCGCTCCACCACACACCTCAGCAGACATCCTAAGGATCACTAAGTGCTGCTTCAGCTGGGGGTGTCACTACCCACATGGGTATAAGCATTTGTATCCTTGTGTACCTGTCTATTAGTTCAATCTACAAACCCTTAATCATTATACCTATGCAGGTAGAGGAAAAAAAGATTTTTCTCAGCCTCCCAAGTGCTGGAATTATAGGCCTGCTCCCTTGGACATGAGATTTTGATGGATTACAGCCAGCTGTTGGGCACCAAGAATGTTGGAGTAAGCAGGGTAGTGGCACATACCTGCAGAGCGCTGCCATTCAAATGTGAGAGCCTGAGCTCCCATGCCTAGGACCCATGACGTCGGGTGGCAAGATAGAGTGAAGAAACAGAAGATGCCTCAGTTCTCAGGCGGCTAGGGCTTGCCACCCACATTGAGTCTTCGTGGAGGGTGAAGTCCAACACATAGGTCTTCTCAAACACAAACCCAGCATGAACACACACACACACACACAAATTACAGGTGTAAGGTTTTAAGGGTGGGACCACCAATCTAATTCACATGCCAAGGTCTTTTAGATTAAACATTATTTACAAAAAAAAAAAAAGCAAAACCACAGATGCAAAAAAACTATTCCTCAAAAGAATGAAACAACTTAGAATCACTACATTTTTTAATCTCCATAACCAAAAAAAAAAGGCCAGGGAAATTAAAAGTTAAAAATTAATAAGAAGTCAGTGATAATACTCTAAAAATATACAGTAGGGAGAGGTACCCCTTAAGTTCAGCAGCAAACAGCCCCACCCTAAACCTGCTCGGCAAGAACTGCAGACTCTGCCATGCACGGCAAAGCTTTCTCCATTAGCAAAGTGGCGGCTTGAGCAAAGGTCCTCTTTCTAAACAAACACTGGTTAAACAGCAAGTCAAGATGAAATTCCTAGACAGAGAAACAAAGCTGTGACTGATGAAAGACTCGCTGTGTTTTGTTACGTCAGGAAGAACCCAACACAACAAAGTCACATCTTTAAGAGAAAGAAATACTGAAGATCATTACAAATCACAACCATCTGCTCAGCTGAGCCACTTAAAGTGATGCTTGATCAACCACTCTGGAATCCTGAAAGTACCCAGAGTGCACCTGGAGTCGAGAGCACCCGATCTGCTCAGAAGGGAGAGCATGGAGCAACGATGAATGTAAGCTTGGGAGGGTTTAACAAGAGTCCACCCGAGTCAGTAACAGGGACATAAGCTCGGGGACGCTTCCAACTCTTTGTGACTCACTTCACACTAGAGTCAGAAGTTTTCCTTAAAAAAGAAACTGAGCTGCCTTCAAAGACAAAACTTAGTATGAAGATAAGCCACTACAACGTCTAACCAGGACGCACACGATGACTCAGTGGGTAAAAGCGCTTGCCACACAAGCCTGCCGACTAAAGTTCAAGTCCTAGGATCTACAGTGAAAGAAGAAAACATTGAGAAAAGCTGCCCTCTGACCTCCACAGACAAAAAAGGAAGACTAACCAGAACGGAACTACATAAAATACTAAAAGCACTAACCAAATAAGATGGAAAAAAATGTACAAGATAGCTTGTTCCAGGACAGTAAAGGGTTAACATAGCTTACACCATGAATCAAGTCTGCCCCCCAAACCAAACCAAAATTATCTAAAAAGAACCCTTAGTAATTGATTTCTATACCAATAAAACTTGATACAACAAATTCTCATTCTATTTTCTTATATTTACTTTCCCTACCATCCCTGCATATAAAAATCCAGGGGTTAAAAAGGACAAAACAAAGTGTGGAGATGACACTAGGCTGGGGAGACTGTCCATGCAAGTGAGGACCCAAGTTCAATCCCCTGCACTCTTGCTATAAACCATGCTAGTTCTCTCAGCACTTGGAAGAAAGAGGTCCTCCTGTCCCTTCTCATCGGTCAACAGCCTGTCCTAATTAGCAAGCCACAGGCCAGGGAAAGACCCTGCTTAAAAAACACAGTAGATAGGCTCCTGAGGCAAGACACCCACACTCACAAACACACATGAACAAACACACAAACATATATACATACTTACACATACAAAAATAATAAATAAAAACAGCCTATGATAGAGCTGAAAAAGTTTCTGACCAGGATGTGTTCTGTGAGTAGTACTGACCAACTGGCCTCCATCTGGCACCCTTTAGGGTCTTTGGCAACAACAACAGGGAAATATAACCCACGTCCCCAAAACTCGGAGTCTGTGAGGGAGAGACAAAGGCCAGAAGTCAATACAAACAGAGACAGTGAGTGCTGTCACAGTGCTGTTGGGCACAAATTCGGGGACAACTGACCAGGCAGGGATGGAAGATAAATGAAAGCTTTGTGGAAAAGTAACAGCTAAGGTGGGGGCAAAACCATTAGTGGGAACTGAGACGGACGGAGGGAAGCGTTCAGATGGTGCTGAAAGCTCCCAACGGAAAACAGAGATGGGACCGGGGAAGTAAAGCTGTGCACAGCAAGACCCACGGACTTCAGCCTGCAGAGGCCGATGGACTCAGAATATCCACCCCACACCTGTGTCGTTTGCTTGTCCTCATGGAGGCCCTGTAGGGACTGTCCTGGTGAATAGCCTTTTGCACAGACAGGAAAAAGGTTCTTCGTTGCTCAAAATGTCATAGTCAATACTGCAGGCTCCACTGCACCATCCTGGGGCTTGCCAGTGTCTGACTCTGAAACCCTGCCACCTCTGGCTTACATATTATGAAACTTCTTTTCAGATTCACATGGAGAATATACCAGGTCTTAAGAATTGTGAAAACTGAGCAGGGATCTGGGTCTGGATTGGCTGGTTCATTTTGTGCGGTCCAGAGGCACTGCCTTGGGTAAGATATCAAAGCTGCCTTACATAAAGGCGTCTGCCACCAAGCCTGATGACCTCAGTTCAAAGGTCACAAGGGAAGGAGAGGACTGATTCTTGCAAGTTCTTCTCTGACTTCCACATTCCCACTGTGGCACAGTTGTAAGACGCCTGCATGCATGCAAACACAAATAAATAAACAATATTATAAATTGGATAAAGAGGCTGAACGCTGCATTCCTGTAACTCCAGCATTTGGAAGGCAGAGGCAGAAGGACTAAGGCTAGTCTGAAGCCAGAATGGACCATATAGAAATTGTTCTTTTTTAATCTGGGCGTTTGTTTGTTGATGCAGGATCTCAATGCATCACTCTGGTTTGCCTGAACTCACTCTGTAGACCAGGTTGGACTCCCAGCTCTGCCTGCCTCTGCCTCCAGAGGCAGATTAAAGGCATGCACACCCAGTTGAGGGAGGGGGGCGTGCAGAGGGGAGGGAGGGAGAGACAGGACAGAAAGGACAAAAAGGAGCTGGACTCAAGTGCTCTGGAGGGAGAGACAAGAGGGTGTTAGCCCCGAGAGAGCACCATGCACTCAGCTGGCCCCAGTCAAGCACCAGATCAAAGGCTTCCAACACTGTCTCAGCACTAGTCACTGTAACTGTCTCCCATGTCTCAAAAGGCACCAGCTGCCGACAGGCCTCTACATGCTGCAAGCACCTGACCATCTGTGGGAATGCACATCCTCTACACAATGTATTTATTCTGCATAGAGAACTCCAGGTTCTGAAAAACATCCTCTCCAAGCCATTCCCTGATTTCTAACCTGGGTTTTATTTGACATTTCTACACTACAGTCCTGCCATGTTCCCAAAGTAACGGTCCTCACACAATCACCTACTACTCCCTGAAACCAGCGACTGTCTCTCCCATGGTAAGGAGCTCTGTAGGTGTAATCAAGGCCCTCGTGTTCAGGGAATCAAAGGGCTCAGTGTGGCCATGGGCGTTCTCATTCATGTGAGAAGGAACGCTGTTAAAAATAAGAAGGCTCTGGCGCAGAAGTAGGTGGGGAATCGCACTCTGAAGATGAGGAAGAGATCACAGGCTAAAGAAGACAGGCAGCCATGAGAACCTAGAAAAGTAAGACTATCTCCTTCGGCCATGCAGGCCTGCTGACACCCAGTCTTACTCTGGGCTGCGGCAACTACCCAAGAATGGATTTCTGTTGCTTTAAACCACAGCATGTGGGAATCTGTTCCGGTGTCCATAGGAGGCACCAAACTTCCTATTCTTTTATATTAGCACACAAAAACAAAACATTTTAAATCTTTAGTTATCAAAAACATTAAGAAACACTCAGTAACCTGAAGGTTTAGATGCCTTAAACTTCTTGTGTTGTTATCTGCTCCTATGTGGTGCAGGTGGTGATAGACCCTGGGAGTGGTTAGGTCATGAACACAGTGGTGGGATTGGTACTGATAAAAAGGCACCCAGATTAGCCCTGGCTGGACTTGACCCGCAGGAGCCGTCAACATAAGACTTCCTAGCCAATTACATCTAAACTACCACACCTTCCTATCTTGCTACTGGAATGTTTTGATCAAGAATGTAGGAAAAACATACAGCAAGAAGCCTTCTAAAATCCAGGCCTGAAAAGTTCTTGTTTCCCTGTGTACTGGCATGAAGGAACACAGATTTTAAGCACGTAAATCTAAGAAGAAATAAAACCAATGACTTATGCCTGGAAACTACGTTGCCAATTCAGTCATGAATCAGAAGGGATCGCTGAAGGCAAAGGCAGTTAAGTTCATGTCCATCATCAGAAGTTCTAAAAATGACTGGGTTATTTATGGAAACAAGAAGTAAGCCAGGTGCTGTGGCCCACACCTGCACTCCTAGCTACTGAGAAATTTGAGGCAGAAGAATTATTGAGGCCTGCAAGTCCGGGGTTAGACCGAACAACAAAGCAAGACCCGTTCTCAAACAGGAAACACCGAGAATAAACCATGAGGACTTGAAGGAGCCGGAAACAGAAACTTTCCGAACAAAAGAGAACAAGTGTTCAGAAGCTGTCACTCTCAAATGGGAGGACCCAAGTCCAAGTCCCCAGTACCGGGCAGGACTGACACCAGAGCTGGCTGCCAGCTGAGGCTGAGGTTCTGTGAGATCCTGTCTCAGAGGAACAAGGCAAAGAGTGACAGAGCGGGATACTAACATCTTCTCTTGCGTCCACAAGCACGTGAGTGCATGCAGACACACACACACACACACACACAGGGATTCTCCACTAAGTTTTAGTTTTCCTCTTCTAATAGCTCATCGCAGTTCTTTAAAGTCAGTGGCTGCTTGGAAATCACTAACATCCTTCAACACTGCTGGGAAAGAGGCTCTAGCACAGGAGGTGAGAATGAATGAATGAATGAATGAGCAAGCAAGCAAATATGCTGTGTGTGTATGTGTGTGTGTGTGTGTGTGTGTGTGCGCACGCACATGTGTATTTACCTGCAGAAACCAAAAGAGGTCTTCAGACTCCCTGCAGCCCAATGTGGGTGCTGGAAACTAAACTCAGGCACTCTAGAAAAGCACCAAGTGCTTAGTCGCTGTATAGCTGAACTTCTAAAACTGTGGGTGTTTTAGAACACCATAGGGTCATAGAACAACTGGAAGGTATGGGCTGCATCAAAACATGTCAACAGTGAAGGTTTCTGAAGGCACAGCAAAACCCAAACTCAAATGTGGAATGGTGGGGGATCTCCGGTGTGACTCCACTGGACACATAATGTGTGTGCACTGTGCATAGCACTACACCACCCGACACGGGTGAATGGCACCTAGAACACCCTGGCTCGGGTTCGAGACTATTCTGTGCTATGACCTGTAATGTTTTTACTGGACACACAGAGTTTACAATTCTTACAGAAACATAATGGCTCTATTATGGAAAACAAAATCTACTTTTTCAGATTGTCATTTTTCACCATGTAAGTATCAAACTTGGATATCCTTGAATGGTACTGTGTTAGAATGTTTGATTCTAAAAACTACTGTTTGAGGGCCAGGCACTTAACTCAGTGGCAGAGCTGCTCAGTGTGTCCAACACCCCCACCATCCCCCCAAAAAATATGTGACTTAGATCAGTGACTTGAATTTCATTTTTAAAAAATATCTTTAAGTGAATTTTGACTTGAGATTAGACCAGGATTTCCAACAATTTCCCAAATGGCTTTAAGCACATTTCTGCTTTTTTTCTGTATCCATGTTTGTGTGTGCGCACATGTATGCGGATATGCTTTTACATAGGTGTGTAAGTCAGAGGCAGATACTGAGCCACTTCTTCATTCGTTTCCCACTCAGGCTTTTCACATGGTGAATTAGTTACTTTCTCGTTGCTGTGATATCATCATGACCAAGGCAACTCACAGAAAGATGTGTTTATTTGAGCTTACAGCTCTTCAGGGGGTTAGGGTCCATTAATGGCCAAGAGCTAAGGGCTCCACATCTCAAACTGAAAGCAGGAAGCCACCTCCTGTCCTCTCAGGGCCTTCACACAGGGACTCCCTGCCACATGCTGCCTGGCATCGGTGGCTCTGAAACCCAGGAGGAAGAACACACAACCCCACCCTTCTCATCTTTTATGCCTCTAAAGCCAGGACCACATGGATGCTGCTGTCAAGCTTGACTGCCGGCTTGGGGTGGACCCTTGCCTGTTTTGATCACATTAGCAGCGACTTTTGTATGTTGAAGCAGCCCCTTAGGCTTAGCTGGGGAAGGGGTGGTCTTTCCAGAAGGTACCCGTCCCATTGCTCCAGTGCAGATCAGACTCCTCTTGTGAATCTCTAACAACTACAGACCGTCTCTCCTCCAGCACAAATTCTGGCTGTAACATTAAGCTTTGCCAGTGTTCATTTCCTTTCCAAACTGTATATTTTGTATTTCTTTCTGCTCCATTTGCTCTTTTTTCATTATAGGGCTACACAAGTTATTAGTCACAGACTCAACCTTATGATGTCTTGAACTTTCCTCCACCAAAGAAATTAGTCTGTTGGGGGGGTGTTAAATTTAGCCTCAGGACATAGGCTGAAAACAGTGACATTGTCAAAAAAACAATCAGTACTGTTAAAGTCCTTGCTTCCCATTGAAATCTCTTGAGCTGGGCCTCTACAATCTGTGCTACTCCCAACACTACTGCCTGCAGGCTCACTAGGCTGTGGTTACAGCATCCACTCCTGGGTATCAAGGATTAGTTAATTTCCTATTGCTGAGATAAAACCTGTAACCAAGGCAATTTATATAAGGAAGCGGTTGTTTGTTTCTTCTGGATCTATGGTTGCAGAGAGTTAAGATCCATACTAGTAGAGATGGTGGCATGGCCTCATGCCACAGACATGGCAGTTAGAGCTGGAAGCTGAGACCGGAGGGCTCACATTTCAAAATACAAGCAGAAAGCAGAGAGAGCCAACTCAAAAAGCCTCAAGTTGATGAACTCTCAAAACCCAGCTCCAGTGACACACTTCCTCCAACACAGCCACACCTCGTAAACCTCCCAAACAGAACAGTATGGGGATCAAGTATTCCAAAGCCCAAAACTGTAAGGGTCATCTCATTCAAAACAGTACACCTAGGGCTGGAGAGATGTCTCAGAGGTTAAGAGCACTGGCTGCTCTTCCAAAGGTCCTGAGTTCAATTCCCAGCAACCACATGGTGGCTCACAGCCATCTATAATGAGATCTGGTGCCTTCTGCCATGCAGACAACCATGCAGACAGAATGCTGTATACATAATTTAAAAAAAAACAGTACACCTAGAGACTTGGAGATTCAAGACCCCCAAATCACTATAGAATAATTTGAACTCAATGGCCTGTGTTTATAATCCCAGTGTTAGGGAGGCAGAGATTGACAGAGATAATTGGGACTCACCGGCCAGCTGGGCTCGGTAAGTCTCAGGACAGTAAGAGGCCACGTCTCTAAAATAAGTAAATTTTGGACAGTTCCTTAAGAATGGCAGCAGAGATTATCTCTGGCTTCCACAAGCATGCGTACACTTGAGTACTTATATGAGCAAAAAGAATCAGTTAAGTGAGATCCGAGTTGGCCACAAGCCATCCCTCTGTCAGCACCAGTCCTGATACACTGTGGGTTATTTTATGTGTATTCTACCATTCTTCATTATTCTCTCTGGTCATGTCCAAATGGTTTTTGTCTGTACTATGTTTTATTTTGCATGATACTGAGGTGTACTTTCACTAACAGACTTTTGTACCGCTTAGAGGCTACACATTCACCTGTTATAACCACTACTTCCATCCTCAGAACTCTTGCATCCCACAAAACTGACACTCCATAATAAAATAACACGAGGCCAAGAACCAATCTAACAAGATGAATACAGAAACCTCGATCTCAGATATCATGGAATTTGGAAGGCCATAACACGTCCTCAATTGAACCAACACTAAACTAAACCTCCGTCTATCAGACAGGAGCCAAAGCGGAGGAAGAAGCCTGAGAAGTCACCAGAGCACATGTTCTGATATCAGTGAAGACCACAGAAAATTAAAGTCTTTGATCCCCACACAGGAGAACTCTAAACAACAAAACCATATTTTACATGATATAAAGCAGGTCCTTCAGCAAGAAGAGGCAGTAATGCCGGGAAACCTCCACCAGAGGACCATCTCCTTCTCCCGTGTTAACTTTATTTTATTTATCAAATGAGAGGCAGAAACAATAAAAATGAGAGCAGGAAACAAGGGGGTTTACACATCCAAACAGCACACGTGACATACACAGCTCTCATGCTCAATCAATCACATGGACATTCCTAACTCAGATCTTAAAGATAGTTAAAGACCTACTGGGTCTTATTTTAACCAACGGTTATCTGTAACAGATAAACTTTAGAGCTCTTACTGATAGACAGTATTGTAGTCCTAGGAAATAAAGGAGTCAGCCCATCCCTTTTGAAATTTAGAAGAAATTAAAACTACACACAGTCAAGGAAACTGAACTTTTGTACCAGGTTCTGCATTCAGACATAACTGAACACGTGCACTCCACTGTTTCTCTCACTGAAAGCAGCTACAAAATCAAACCACACTCGAAGCAGCTGGTGTGGCCTCACCAGGGACAGACGCACTATTAGTCTAAGGTGCCTCATTTGATCTTTGCCCTCTGACCCACCCTTATCTAGACTCAGAGCAATTCAAACCCTAGAAAGTGTGAGTGGCCATGGAGCTTAGGAGAGAGAGGCCCTGCAGTCCCTAGCTTGTTAGCAGGATGTGTCACCCAAACCCCCCATGGAGGGCAGGAGCTACAGTTCCAAAGGATGGCTGAATATCTGTGCTCTTTCCTATGTCCTGTCACTTAAACCCTCCAAGTCAGCATAGGAAGCGTGTGACCAAGGAAAGTGACTCAGATATAAGCTTTTCTGGCTAGAACCAGAAAAGAAGACTCAGGGCACAACAAAATACTAACAAGACGAGGAAGACAAAGGAGCTCAAAATTACTACAGACTCCCGAGGTTACTCAGAAGCCAGCCAGTCCCTGCTCAATCTGAACTAAATAGCACGCTCATGACTTTGAGCACTTAATCATGGGTTAGGCATTGCCTAGGTCCCAGACTGACCCCTCTGGGTAGTGCACAAATCAGACAGACCCCTAAACTCTGAAAACAGAAAGAACAGACACTGGAACCCTAAATCAACCAAGGCTGGTTCCAACTTGGAATATGAACCCAGCTAAGAGGAGGGCATCCCACAACAAAATTACCAGCCTTCTTCACAGGACTTAAGAGGACACATACAGAGTCTTAAAATAGTCAAGATATCTAAGATACAATCCAAAATTATGTAACAAATTAAAGCCAGGGAAATTAACTCATACAGAAAGATAATACAAATAACAAGAATGACAGATGTAAAATTACTTGACAGATTTTAGAGATGTTTATCACAAAATTGTTCCATAAAGAGTAAGCATTCTCCAAAAGGATGACAAGACAGTGTCAAAGAAATTGGAGATATTTGCCAGATGGTGGTGGCACACGCCTTTAATCCCAGCAGTCAGGAGGCAGAGGCAGACGATCTCTGTTAGTTTGAGGCCAGCCTGCTCTACAAGAGCTAGTTCCAGAACAAGCTCCAAAGCTACAGAGAAACCCTGTCTTGAAAATCCAGAGAACAGGAGATATTAACAGACATACTGAATGTCACCTAGGAGACTGCAGGTGACAGGAGGCTGT